AGATTAGTAAGCGATTGTGTTATTTTTTAGAGTTACTTTAAAAATAAAATTTCTAAACTACGATTGTGTACCGGTCTATGGCTATTAAAAACTCTAAGACAATTTAAGGTTATTCCTGGACCTACTCACTCTTCTGCTTCGACAATCAAGGGGAGCCTGGAGATGCAGTTTGGGGCATGTGATTAAAATGCAAACATTTCATCAGCATCGCCATTTGTCATCAATACTCTCCTCTGTGACATGCGTAAGTAAAGAAGCAGAGTGTACATATTAAAGACTTGTCTTCTATGCAACCTTCAAAGGCGAGCTTATAAAGGATTTCTTGATAAAGGTGTGCAAGGTAATGCATGCTCACATTCATGTGAGTCCAGTGACTTTGAAAATTACTTAAAAGATGGATTTAGCAACACTTAGATAGCTATCTGTAATGTGAGATTACCCTATTTAAAAAAAACGATTTTTTTTTAAAGCATCACAGTCATTTGAAAATACTGCCACTGTTTGGATATAAACGTTACAGATCCTATTATTTTTTCATTCTATTTTCCCACCAGCATTTCGAAGCACCTTCATACAACCTTAACATAAAAGTTTGAAAATCGTCCTATGAGCAAATAGAAAGATATTTTGTCATTTAAATTCACAACGTGTTTCAGCAAACTTCCTGATTCACTAACAACAGGGTGTTGGCAACAGGAAAATAATGAAGTCTTTCTCTTCCTCAAGAATTTGTACAACTCATTCATTTTTAAGACGACTCATTTATTAGCAGTTTGTTACAGATATTATGTGATATCTTTTCCAGTTAACTTTGTCGGATCACCTTTTGACTCACATGAAATGCTCCATTGTTAGATTTAGTCAGTGGTTGGCAACTGCTGATTGAGTAACAGTGCCCCCCTTTTTCCTTGTTCATGTGGGTGGCCTAGGATTTAGACGGGTACGATGGAAGCAAATATCAAGTGTGGGCAAAAGTCCAGCATGCAATTGCTGGTTGGTCTCTTGGTTACACACTCTGGACATGACAGACATTTTCCTGTCTGTGACATGTTCCCCCAAACTGCACTGTTTTATTTTCTTGTTGTGGAGATGGTTAAGGTAGACAAGAAAACACACACACACACACACATACACACACACACATTGCTGCTCTATTTCATACTTTAGCAACTTCTAACCCATGTTTTATTGTGTGACACGTATGGCAAGTAGTGGGCAAAAAAAGTGTCAAATCATCTTGGCACAGCATCTGCTGCCATTATTCTTATATTTTATTCCAACAGCACAATCAAGGTGGAAAAACTTAAACATTCCTTTCCTCAAGAGGTAGTATTTACCTTTGCTCTAAATATACTCATGAATGTGAAGGACCATTTATGAAAAGTTCTTAGACAAAACTTTGAGGGAATGAGTTGCTGGCCGTAGGGGCTCAGGACTAGAGTCTTGGGGTCATCAAGGCTAGTTGGTACATCATATTTCACAAGGCAAGATGTGTTACCTCTTACTTTGGTGAGTAGCAATGGGAGGGGGTGTGTCTTAAAAAGCTCATGAGCAGCTATGTAAGGTGCCATTATGGGTCTTTCTCCACCCAGAAGAAAGAAGATGGAACTTGAAAACACACAGTAACAAACAGTGCAATGGACTAATGTATAAGGTGAACATCAGTCCCCATGACCCTAAAGGGTCCCCAGCTACCACTACCCACTGCTTTGAAGGGATCGCATTAGAAGAATGGAGAAAAATGTGGAACAAAACTCAATATCCTAAAATGGTCCCTGGCTTACTGGCCTATAGAGACTGGTAGATCCCCTGAGACTATGGCTCTTGGTTACCTTCAGGTCTAGAACTGGATTCACCTGTGACCGATTTTTACCCTATAGGTCTATAAGGGGAATAGGAACACTAAGGAAGTACATACACCTCAGAATAGCTAATCATTTGAGATAAAAAGGACAGCATTTACTCAAGGATGAAGTTCAGAAGGGTTGAGAAAGGAGGAGGACTGGAAAAAGCAGCCCAGGGCAAAAAAGTGGGCTAAGTGACGTTCCACTGAGGGAACTGCAATAAATGAGATGAAATTTTACATATGAATTGCTGAATGCAAAAATGATGACCTGTTCTGTCAACTTTCACCCAAGTCACAATAAAGGTGTTAAAGATATGATCATCAATAGTGACAATAACTGCAATAGATTAAAGTATACTAAAGTGTTTATTATATTTAGAAAAATGACCCAAACTAATTGGCCACCATTGGAGGATACCAGGGAACAAACTTATGATTCTGAAAACTGACAAATAGAAGAATCAAGACCTATCCTGCCATTCTCACATACACTGTACATTGGGAAGCTAATTCGTAGATGAAGGGTATTTCTCCTTATAGCAATATGCGGACCCATATATGAACACAGAATTGCTACTGACATTAGGTGGTGTTTAGTCGGTCCTGACTCACAGTGACCCCATGCACAAGTGAATGAAATGCAGACCGTTCCTGTGCCAGCCTCATAATTGTTACACTCAAGCCCATCACTGGAGCCGCTATGTCCACTAATCTAGTTGAAGGCCTTCCTTCTTTTTCCCCTGACCCTCTACTTTCCTCAGCATGATGTCCTTTTCCAGGCACTGGCCTTTCCTGATGGTGGGTCCAAAGTATGTGAAGGGAGGTTTTGCCATCCTTGCTTCTAAAAGCCAGAATAGAACGGGACTATTACAAGTTTGTGACCTACAATGCACATGTTGCCATCATAAAAAAAGAGAGTTAGCAGACATTATGTGCCTCTTGAGGGAAGAACATATGAACTAGGAAGTAGCTTCCCCCCCAAAAAAAAGACTCTGTGATCAAGCTCCGAGATTGAAATAACAATTCACAGAAAACACATAGAGAAATATGCTAAACGATGTAGCAGTAAAATCCAATGGGTGGAAGATGCAATCAATTTCTGTAACAGAAACATTGCAAAAAAAAGAATGGTACCTATGAATTAAAGGATCCTTACAGGACACAGCCACTGATGGTACTAGGTTCAGTTATTTGGATCCCGCTTTACCTGAATGCTATATAAATTATGACATTATCGAGAAAATTGTAAATTTTTACATTGAAGACCAAATCCAGGCATTGCTGGTTTGTTTTCTTTTTAAATTAGTACATGTAATGGTATTTTAAAAAATTCTTTGCCTCTCAGCATATATTAAATTTCTTATCTTACTGATAGCCCTCAAAAAGCTAAGCGAATGTAACACTGTGAGTGAAAAGAGTTTAGTGGCACTAAACTGGTCATGTTTCTGGTCTGAATCAGTTTTTGTCCGAAGAAAAGGAAAAAGATTGGCAAGGCTGCTATGTATGATATGAAAGTGAGTAAACAAAAGTGAATTTCCTTATTTTTCTATGGAGGAAGGGAAAGGATGGGGGGGGGGCGGTAAGTTATCACCTTGGTAGCATATGGTAACCAGAGAAAAACTGGCTTGTAGACCTCTTTTTAGTTTTCTATATCTCATTCCATCTGCACGGTTCTTGCCAGCCCTTCATCCTCTTCCTTTAGATCTCCCACAAGTTTTTGCTCAAGTTTATTCTGTAAACCTATCCGTGTTACCGACGTCTTAGGCATGCACCTTAATATGCACGCAATAGAGAAATTGGTACCAGTGTTCTCAGCCGACTTGAAACCGCTAGAAGGTGCATGAATCAAGAAAGAACCCCTGACTCTTTAACTCAGCCTCACTCACCTAGACCAAAGGTGGGGGCCAGAGTGCTTTCTGCATTCGTATCCACTATGTTGGTGTCCACGAAGAGTACCTGGCATCTCTGCGTGCCGGCTGTGGGACAGCTCTCCAAGTAGCGGCCCTGGCTCCACCCTCCTGGGTTTCGCCAATTGAGGGAAAAGGAGAACACTTTTAGGGACTGCCAAAATAACCAGTCGACCTCAGGTCCGCTCCCTTGCTGAAGTGTTTGTAAAACACTGGGAGGTTTACTGGTGAGACCAGCCTCCCCGCGCGCCGCCACACGAGCGGCTCCCACGCGCGGCATCCCCCACGTCAGGTTCAGCGCCCCAGCGCGCCGGGTTCCCGCACGCCGCAGATGCCCCGCCCCTGCCACCTCGGCGCGTCTCATTGGCCCATCCCGCGGCCGCCTCGGCTCCTGTTTGGCGGCGGCGGCTGTCATTCTGCGCGGCAGGCACATTTCCGCAGTCAGGGGCGCTGCTCCGCATGGAGGGGGAGGGGAAGTGTTTACGAGAAAGTGGGGGCTCTTGAGTGCCGGGAGACGCCAGCCGGGTGGTCTGAGGGGGTCCGCAGCTGGACTGCGACCGCTGGCGAGGGGGCTCAAAGTGTGCACATATTAAGAGGAGAGGGGAAGAGAGAAAGGTGTCTCAGAGGTAACAAATTCTCCCAGCCGGCGAGCCTTCTTCCCGGGGCGCCGTAAACGCCCCCCAATTTCCCAGCTGCTAAAGGCTGAAGAAGGTGGGTGGCGCTGGCGGTTTGGGGAGGTGATGGGACGGGCTCCAACGACCCCTTGGTGGGTGTATTTCCATCTCCGAGGAGGGGTCGAGATCTCCCCTTTCCTGGCCGGCTATCGAATTTGGGGTTCGGCAGAGCGCCGGCAGAGGGACGCGGCCGCGGGGGAGGGGCGGCGGAGCGGGCGGCTCCCCTGCTGCCCGGGGAGAAGTCGCGGCCCGGCCGGCCGCGGGCAGGCGGGAAGCCGGAGGCCGGGCCCAGGGCTCGGCCGCGCGCCCTTCCTCCGCGCTCCGTCCCTGGGAGTGGACGCGCTGCTGCACATGCCTTGGAAACGGCGGCCCTGCCCCCGGCCGAGCCCGCCCGCTGCGCGGACTGGGGCCTCGTGCACCTCCCGGGTATTCCCGGGAGCCAGGGGGCTGGACGGCGGCTGCGGGGAGGGGGCCTGCCCCCGAGGGCGTGGGGAGCGGGGGGCGGTGAATAGCCGTCGTAGGTCCGCCTCTTTCATTGATGAAATTTAAGTTCGTGTGGTTTGCTTTTCCGGGAGTCTCCAGCTCGCGAACTAGCAGTCTGGGCTGGAGTTCCTAGCCGACTCTGGCGCACCAGATTCCCGTCTTTTGGAAGTGTGGAGGAGCGCTTTTCCTGGGTGTTCTCTAGTCTGCCCGGACTAACACACTTGGGTGTATTTTTGGGGGGAGGTGGGGGAACCCAGTTTTAATCGCTTTTGAATACCTTGAACGGTTTACCACCGGAGGAAAAAGAACACGACGGTTGTTGAAGGAAGAAGAGAGACTACCCTATAGAGCGACTTCTATTGAAAATTTAGGGGGTGGGGAAGACTTTTTCTTTTTTCTTAAAGCTAGACAATTTTATTAAAATCCAAACATGTCGAGATTTGTGCAAGGTAAGACATACTTTTTACGCCGGGTTGCTTCATCCGAATTTGGGTACTGGAAGCCGAGAGGTTGGTGATGGGGAACTTGTTCGTTGGGTAGACTATTTGCGAAACGTTTTTGGTTAAAATTCACATCTGAGCTGAGGCGAACTGCTGGGCTGGCGGTCCAGATATATTACATCTGATTTATGCCCCGCCGCTGAAATGCAGCTATTAGCAAGCACTCTGGCTCCCGGGATAGTGATTGTAGATGATGATAAAAGAGGCTCCCGGCTGTTGATTAATCCCTGCTCGCTTTTCCTGGTGAGTGTCTGGTACCTGGGCGCGCGGGGACGGAAGGGGAGAGGGGAGGGCGGGGAGGGCAGGTGGGTTTCGTCTGGACTGTTGGAGAAGCATTCGCTGTTTCCAGTTCCTGCGCTGTTTGTGTGTACGTGATAGGAGTCTCAGATTCATTTGTTGCGAAACCGGGACGAGCCCATAGAAGCTGGAGGTCATTTCAGCAGGAGAAATGACTTTGCTGCATTGCCGTGTGGAGTGTTTTTTCCCGACTCTGAATTGCGGGAAGGTTATTAAAGTTTCTTTGAAATTTGCCCCGAAATTCCACACGCCTATATTTAAAAAAAAAAAAAAAAAAGGCATGAGAGGTCCCTCCGCTGAGTAGCATTGTGTGTGTGTGTGTGTGTGTGTTGCACATTGAAATTGGTGCTCTCTTCAACTTCTATCAGGAATGTGTAGCATCCGATTCGCCTTACATCTGCTGTGCAGGTCCACCCGTTCTTTGCAGACCCCAGCCTGTGAAAGCTTCAGCCATCTTGCTGAACACACAGCTAGTAAAGTTCACAACCAATTCGTAGGGCTTTCAAGAAATGCAGAATTACCTAAACACAAAACAAAAAGTATGCCAATACAGGCCAGTGTGGCTATTTGACCCATGGACATGAAAATGCCTTGGTAAATCTCACATGGCTTGGTTAACTCCTTGTGGAAATCTTACATGTTAGGCTCAAGTAAAACAGTTTGCCTGTTTTACTGTAGAACCAGATGGGACTACCTTTCACTACTTTTAGCAGGAAGCTCTGAAATGGCACTTGTCATTAGACTTTCAAATTCACATTACAGCTTCTATGTGGTGAAAGATGCTTCTTGTGTTCACAGCGAATAAATAACTTAAGAACAGAGAGCCACAGGTAGTTGTAAGAAACGTGTTGGGTTTTAACAACAAAATCCAGTTCTCATAAAGTCAGTATTCTGAGGGAATTCACGAAAGGTGGAGGTGTCACTTCTTAAAAGTTAGGAATAGTAATAAACTCCAGGTGTTCCATTTAGTTACTCTTGGACTAACTTAAAGCATTGGTTCACAATGACTGATTTCATTGGTTTTGTTGTTAATGGCTAACTGCTCACCTCCTCCCCCCACCCTCTCTTGATTCTAAATCTTGGCTTAGTTAGGAGAGGCCTGGTATGTTTGTCATTCATGTTTGTCATTCCTTTCCATTGTCAATCACTTAAGCCCAAACCAAAACAACCCCCACATTTTTATTTTGGAATAAGTTTAGACCTATGTAAAAGTTGCAAAGATGTTTCTCCTGATAACCTTTTATATAACTTTGGCACATTTGTAAAAACAAAGAAATGAGCATCTTCTTATTTAAATTGCACACTTGATTCAGATCCCTGTTCCAGGAGTCAATCCAAAGAAGACCTCTTTGCATTTGCTACCCGCTCTTACTTAAAATAGTGATTTCCTTTTACACTGGCAGCTTTGCACAAAAGGCGTCACTAACTTCTCTACCAATTAACTTGATTGTCCTTCAGTTTTTTATTGTTGACATTTTGCGCTTTACTCCTGTGTGCAGTTAATGAACTCGGCTGCTGTTAGACGTGACAAACATAACTGGTTCATGACTCAGCTGTCTCTACATGTCCGTTTTCACGTGTATGGGTTCAGCTTTTTGTGTTTTATATTTTTGGTGTGTTGTTTTAAAAGCAGGTCAAATTATTTGCCCATATAGCCATTCCTCGACTCTTAGTTTATGGCAACTCATAGGGACAGATTAGGCCTCTGTTGTCATATCTTATCTCACTTAAGCTCCTTACTAGTCCGAAGAGGTAGATTAAAAATAAAAAAAGTTTTTTAAGAGGTGGATTTTTATTATGACTTTACAGTTGAGGAAAGTCAAGTGCCTTATCCAAAGTCCACAGCTACTCGGCACTGAAATGCATATATGGATGTGCCTCAAACCTTTACCCTCATCCTTTCCATATAAGGGTTCTTCAACTGGACTTTCAGGCCCTTAAGGCCCGTAAGGGCAAAGACTGTATTGTAGCGAACATGCACTGGCTTACCAGTGGTGGATAAACTCAAAGAATTTGTAATTAATGACAAATGAAAAGGAAAACACAACACTTTGGCTGGCTTACATGTTTGGTTGTAGTTTTTTTATAAACTACCTCTTAGATTACATAAATGTTGGGAAAGACGAAAGATCATGGACTTAGACTTGAATCATGTTACTAGCAGGTGATCAGATAAACAACTTTACAGAACCTCAATATCCTCCTATATAAAAATTATCTATGGCACAGGGTTATTGAGAAGCTGAGATGAGATGAATTATGCAGCCACATGCTAGGTAGCCAGTACATTTTACTTTTAAAAACAGTGGTGGTCTTTCAAATGGCAGTGCCATCAGAAATAGTATAGCTACATTTCATCAAGAGAAATAAGCTGAAAGAAGGCAGGTAGAACAGTTCATATTTTTTTCTGCTTCCAGTTTAATGTTGAGGCCTGAGCATGGGGGAATATATACGTGTATATATATATAATTATGTTCCCCAGTATATGGGTATATGTGTGTATTTGAGTGCAGGGAGAGTGGTATGGAGGAGAGAAGCTAGAACAGTGGTATGGGTGTTTGGCACATTGTGCATTGTGTTAGGGTTATTGATGTATCTCTTATGATGGGAACTTGAAGTTTCAAAGATCTGAGTAATACGGCTATGTAACTGAGAGTAGTTAGTACCTGCGCTCCGCTTGACTTTCTTCCCCCCAAATCTAGTGTCCTTTATCACAAAAAGCTGGACATCTGCATCCTCAAGAGCTTAGACGTAAGCTGGGTGGTCTGAGCAGCTGTGGTTTGCTTGGTTGGCAGTTTGGAACCACTAGCAGCTCCACAGGAGAAAGACAGGGCTTTCCACTCCCATAACCGTGACAGTCTTGGAAACCCACAGGGGGCTTGCTATGAGTCGCCATCAAATTGATGGCAGTAAGTTTGGTTGGTTACTGGTCAAAAGGTTGACAGTTTCAACTTCCCCCAGAGGGACCTTGAAAGGTCACAGCAGGTCTTAGCACACATGAGGTCGCCTTATGTAGGAATTCACTTTGAAGGCAACTAGCAACATTAGGGAGATGTGATCAATTAATAAAAATACTGAGCTGCACAGGCAAGAGGGTTCACAATATGTATTCCTTAGCTAAAGAAGGTTCATTTAGTTGGGGCATCATCCCAAGTCTGTGTTCTTTGTGCCTGCCCTATGGTTCTTTTGTCGTAGAAGGCCCATCACTAGATCTTCATTGGATCTGTGGCTGGTGTATTCCTTGACTAGTGTATTCCACTGCTGGGTCACAATCTGTCTGCCTAGGAAATTACAGTACTTCTCCAAGTGGTAGCTTTCTACCCCTCAGGGCCTATTGCAAGGTTCCCAGTCATTCTAAATATGCTCACCCTTCTTTCCCAGCTGGAGGTTCTAGGGTCATCATCCACTGTGAGCACCATTCAAGAGTTTGCTTTTAGAAAATTCGAAGAGCTAGTGGGTAGTCTTTTGAGATGTCGTGAAGCTTATAAACAGAGCCATGTATATTGGTTGTCTACCCAGCGAAGGCCATGTTGTATGCTGCTCCTGTAATCTTCGAGGAACTTTGGGTTTTGATTTCTTGAATCATCTTTACCAGGTCATGTCTTAAATAATCTAAAAAATTCTTGTTCTTACAAGTGAGATACTTTCATTTATTTCAAAGGAAGCCAGCTATCATTTCAAAAAATTGAGACCCATCAGCTTTTCTCATCGGTTGGGATTCTTTGTGACAGTTTTGGTGATTCGTGTTTGGTGGATGGCAGCCTGCCAGGGAAGATTAGCTGGGCTAATTATAGCTGGAGGGTCTCAGCAGCGTGGGAGATAGCTGCATTGTGGGGCCTGGTTGTCAAGATTTGGCCTTGGCTTGGTTCTTCTCAAATCCCCAGACCAAATTTAGCTTGTTGCTACTTATTCGGATGACTAGTATGCTTTTAAGGCAGGGGGATTCTGGCAGGGATGTGAGGTGGGACAAGAGACAGCAAGGCCACAGCAAAATCGTCCCCTCAAATTCTGAAAGATGTGGCTTGGGGTTCATTATGTTGCTAGAGAAAAAAGAATTTTGTTTAATTCCGATGCAAAGTGAAGAATGTGAAGCTAGACAAAATCAAAATGAAGAGTTGGGCTGATGAGCAAACTTTCCTGGGAGTTTTCCAGTGTGAACTTTTCTAATCTCCATGGGCACATTGACCTGGTTCTTGCTTACTCAGTCTCTCTTTGAGTAAAATGGATGATTTTCACTTGAACAATTACCAAAGGGATTGGGGTTGGGCAGCTGGGGAGCTTTACCAGAAACATCAGGGAAATAACTATTAACTGACAACACTTTTGGAAGTGCCATTTTAATCTTTCTCAAGAGAACTTTAAAAGGATAACTTAATAAAAAAAGCCCTTTTTATTCTGATTTGAAATATATTCTTCTTCTACTCAGCCATTCATACAATTTGCTTCCTGACATTGATTGCAGCCCCACAGAGTCCCAGCACTCATCTCCCCACCTCTGGGTGTTTTCTGGTTCCTTCTTTCCCTTCTCCTGCCTTCGGAACACTGCCCTTTGATGTGATGGCCGGTTAACTAAGGCTTACAGTGGTTCTCAACATTCCTAATGCCGTGGCCCTTTAATACAATTCCTCATGTTGTGGTGACCCACAACCATA